AAGCCATGCTGTGGCGGTGTTCCATGTACAAAATAGAGGAAGATTGGCACAGATGTTAGACAATCTTCCTCACCAAAAAAAAAAAAAAAAAAACACTAAGTTTTCTCTGGTTGGTATTGAAGAGAAAGTCAAGGGATTCAAAGTGTGACAACGATTCGGTTGCTGGCTTTGCAGATGGAGGACACAGCACATGACGAGGAATGCGGTGGCCTCTAGTAGCAGAGGGCAGCCCCTGGTTGGGAGCCAGCAAGGAAATGGGGACCTCAGACCCACAGCTGCAAGGAACTGGATTCTGCCAACAACCTGACCTGGTTTGGAAGTGGATTCTTGCCTAGACTTCCCACGTAAGAGCCCGGACCCACCTGATTTTATCTTGATTTCAGCCCTGAGTAGAGAGCCCAGTTGAGTCCACATGGACTTCTGACCTACTACTGTGAGATAACAAGCGGGTGTTGGTTGTGCTAATTTGTTGTGCAGACTGGAAAACTAATGCAGTCAGTTTCACACCACTATGCAGCTGGCTTTCATTCTGTTGGATGTTTCTAGATCCAGCTCATTTCCTCATAAAATTTCTAAAACGGGTATTTGCCCCCTGGGGGTGGTATCATGCTCTGGATGCCTCCGAGCCTGGCTCTTATCATTCCCGACTCTGTGGTCTTCACTGGGAACCTTCTCAACTTCAAAACGTTAAAAGTTTCAAAGAGTTAAAGTGAAGAGGAACATCAGGTCATTCATTGCAGGTGAGGAGAGCTGAGGTGAGGCCCACACTCTGCCAGCCTCACAGTCCTCAGCCGGTTCTTACCTCCCAGGAGAAAAGCAGCTGCCTGAGGCAGGGGCCTTGCGGGCCTCCGCCGCCTTCAGCACCCGGCTTTGCACACACGGCACTTCTGATAGACATTGCTGGATCAAAAGTCCCAGAGCAAAGGAGCTCGCTCAGGTGCCTGAGTGATCAACCCTAAGACGGCTTGAAATGAGAAGAGGAAGGTTCCAGAGCCCCTCAGCTGGCTGAAAGCCTTGTACACAAGATATACGACCCCAGCCTGGAGTCTGGGAAAGGGCTGTGAGGTAAAATCGTGTGAGGGAGGGGATTCCAAGAGCCAACAGCTAATCCCACAGAAGCCCAGACTCTAGCTACTCCAGAGAGACAGAGGTCACTCCGAAAAGCTTTCAACTTTGTTCTAATCCCGTCCTCACCAGCAGCCCCCAAGGACATCAATTGCTGTCTGGGGGCTGTGGGATGACGCGGCATATGTGACAGACACGGGGATGTCCCTCTACGGGCTTCTTGCAGACGGGGCTCCTCCACACCTGAGGCCCAACACCTCCCTTTCCTCCCTCCCTCCGTCCCGCTCTCCCTCCTCCCTTCAGGAAGAGCTAGCAGGTTTGGAAGCATTGAGAGTTCTGGCACTGACAGCGACTCTCCGAAGGTCTTCCCTCCTCTTGCCTCCCTTTGCCCATCAAACACCTGGAGGCCTGCTTCCTGCCTTTGCTGATGAGAACCATGCATTTCCGGAAGCAATCCGTTATTTCTGCCTTAATGAGCTGGTGTTTTTCTTGCTGGGAAAACTCCAGTCAGGCCCTTAACTCCATCTTCTTTTTCTTGGAATGTGATCTCATGCATCGGGGAGCCCAAATCTCTCTTGATTGGGCAGTCTTGGGCTTCTTTATGTGGGTCCAGGGCCCAGGGTGGACACGCTGAGAGACGGGGGGTAAGGAGTGAGGGTCTGTCTGTGACTGCTGCCTGCCCCCACTCCTGATGGGACGCCCTCTCTCTCAGGCTCACGAGAATCCCTGGACCTTCTGGATTTGCTCTGCTCCTTTCTGTGGGCTTGGGAATGAGTTTGTGGATTTGTGGCTTTGCTTATAATCAAGAAATCTGCCTAGACTCACAGAATTTCTTTTGCCCCAGGGCTGGGCCCCTTATGAAACCTGAAAAATGCAGTAATATCAGAGTGAGTTATACACACGTGGGCAAACATGTGTATGTTAAGCTTGTGTGTGATCACAGGAATTCTAAGAGTGACTCTTCACCATTGCCCATTTCAGTCAAGCAGGAAACCTGACACTCCAAGGCAAGGAGGAGCCAAGGAGGGAGGGGAAGAGAGGGAGGGAGAGACAGGGCCTCTGGCTCTCTGGCAGGGCCTTGGGGCGGGGCTGAGCACCCCCCCACCCCGTCCCCCCAGGAAGTGTGTTCAGTCCTTACAGGCTGAACTTCTCAAACACCACCTCACAGACACAGCGGAAAAGAGTAGGGGATCTGGGTACACGGGGATTGGGGGAACTGTCTGTCCTGCACCCTCTCCTGCCTCCCAGGACACAGCTCAGGAGGCTCAAAGGCCAGGGGAAGCTATCTTAGAGGCATATCCTTCACCCAACAGACTGTTTCTGGAGGGCCCTGACATCTCCTTCCAGTGAGAGACTCTACCCACTCCCCTGAGAACCCCCCACCACCCCGCCACCCCCTGCTCAACTTGCTGGTCCCAGGTACGCGAGATGACCTCTGCTCTCCATTCTCTTCCAGAGAGACGTCTGTCCATTTGGCTGGGGCCAGCCAGCTCCATTCCCTCCTCTTTTCCTCAGCTGTGAAACAGAGATAATGGTAGTGTGGAGGCTTGGGGACTGGGCAGCTTGGCTAGGCTGAACTGTATTTCCCAGAATTGCTTTTCCTGGGTGTTGCTGGGGGTGGGGAATCACAGAGAGACCCCCGTGGGAGGTTTGGAGGGTGGAGGGGAAGCGGCAGCCGCTCTGTAGCTCTCACACGTGGCGCCGCTCTGCCGGCTTACCTCATCGGTGTGAGGCAGCAGCGGCTGCAACTGCCCCACCCTCCCTGGATCCTCCTTCAGCGGCTCCGACCCCTGGGCGAGGTGTGTGCTCAGCTCCACAATGAGGGGGCCTGGCTTCTGCAGACGCCCACACCACCAAGCTCAGAAGCAACAAGAACCGACATGGGTGTCTGTCCGTCCTCATGGACTCCAGCTTGTGCATATGGATTCTGACTTCCTCTTGCTCTCCCCACTTTACATCCACATTTCTTTCCCAACAACCTCCCCCGTGGGCTTCAAGCTCCAGAGTCAGAAGTGAAGACATCAGCTTTGCAGAGACGGCTTAACCAGTGCCCACAACAGTCTAGGGTCAAATTCCTGTAAGAAAGTCCTTTGTATACATCTATATCTATCCTCTGGGGGTTCTGCTTCTCTGATTGCATGCTGACTGGTACAGGCTGTATTACTGATATGCATTACCCTACATGGTAGGAGATGAAAGGAGCCAGGTCCTTCGAAGTGTTTAGTTCACTATCAAGCAGTAGTTCTCAAACTTGAGCCAGCATTGAAAGCACCTGGAAAGCTTATTAAAACCCAAATGGCCGGGTCTCCCCTCTCCCCCACTCTTTTTTTTTGTGAGGGAGATCAGCCCTGAGCTAACGTCTATGCTAATCCTCCTCTTTTTGCTGAGGAAGACCGGCTCTGAGCTAACATCTATTGCCAATCCTCCTCCTTTTTTTCTTCCGCAAAGCCCCAGTAGATAGTTGTATGTCATAGTTGCACATCCTTCTAGTTGCTGTATATGGGACGCCGCCTCAGCATGGCTGGAGAAGCGGTGCATCAGTGCGCGCCTGGGATCCAAACCCGGGCCGCCAGTAGCAGAGTGCATGCACTTAACCACTAAGCCACTAGGCCGGTCCCCACGTCCCGCGTTTCTGATTCTCAGGTGTGGAGTGGGGCCTGAGAATTTGCAATTCTAATAAGGTCCCAGGTGACACTGATGCTGCTGGTCCAGGGAGCACGCATTGAGAACCACTGCTGCAAGGTGGTGTACACAAAGGTGAGGGGTTACGGCTGCCCACAGCAGGATCCCAGCAGAGGAGGCTGCAGCAGTGCCGTCCCCTGTAGGTAACGAGGGCCCTCTAGGATCATAGGGCCAGGGAGGAAATGAGAAGCCTTGTTCGGGCCTGCTCTTCAGCCTGGTTTGGAGGGAAAGCAGTGCCTCTGCCTTCTGAGAGGCAGCCTGGCAGAGGGAGCCGGAGCACAGGCTTGGGGCAGGCCGACCCAATTTGAATCTGGCCCTGTCATCCATTCGAATCTGGCCCTGCTGTCCATGGCCAGTGTCCTGGGCAAGTGTCCTATTAGGTAAGACAGGGATAATAGTGCCGCACAAGTTTTCACTGGGATGATGGACATGAAGTGTATGCTCAGTAAATGCTGCTTCCTTTGTCACTAATACCCCACTGGTCTCTGACTTGACTTTTGTCATTGATGATTTAGAAATGTGCAATTGAGTTTTTGACCCTAAGTGCAAGACTTTACATTTATCTCTATTCAGTTTAATTTTGCTGTTTTTTTTTTTTCTCCCCAAAGCCCCAGTGCACGGTTGTATATCCTAGTTGTAAGTCCTTCTATGTGAGCTGTTGACACAGCATAGCAACTGACAGATGGGTGGTGTGTTTCCACAACCAGGAAACGTGAGAGTGCCGAACTTTAACCACTAGACCATCAGGGTGGGCTCTAGTTTTGCTGGTTTTAAGCCATCATTCCAGCCTGCTAAGATGCTGTCATTTGGCAGCCTGCCTGCAGTTCCTACACGAGCGTTGCTGGCACCATACTGTACGGTTTAGCGTCCATGGCGGGTAGGGAGGTAGGAGAGCAGGGCTTGCTCCTGAGGTCATGGAAGAGTTCTTGACTTGCCACCTTTGTAACTCTGACTTGGAAGCTGCCTTCATAGTTTCTAGTGAGTCTTTGCACCCCAATTAGAAACACCAACTTTTAAAAAACTTTGTGAAGTGGTAGAAAAAAGAAGGGTCCTGTGTACTCACCCCGCTGGTCTGTTGCCCATGTGAACACGCACTGTGTGCAAGTCCAAAGCCTCAGAGATGCCAGACCCAAGATCTGGTTTCTAGTCCCTGGGCAGCCTAAGTGACCGGCTTTGAGAGGAGGTGCTGTTAGCGGTTCTCCCCTCGATGGACTCTCTTCCCCGTGAATAAACCACCAAAAAAGAGAGAGAACTTAGGAACAAACTTCTTATAGAATTTAATGTTTTCAGGGATGGGATGGACCAAACCCAAGAGGCAAAATGCCAGGGTGTTCACCAGCAGAAAGGCACAGGGGTCCCAGAGGGCTGGGCTGGGCTAACTGGACTGTAAGCTTACCAGGAACTTATTCTCTCTCAGTCCCTCTCAGAACATTCTGCAGCCATCGCTGCTCCTTAAACCCGAATTGACTGTGGCTCCTTCTTCTTCACCTCTGCCCAGATGTCTGACAGGTCTTGGATAAACTGCTGGATCTAATAAGGCAAAGTGACCGGAGTTAACCCCATTCAGCAGGAGGCCACCGCATCCAAATATGGAGCATGTCTGGGCGTAACCCATAAGGAGTCACTATTTTGCTGTGACTGACTTCTTGAGGCCACTTTCCCTCATTTGACAATGACTCTAGTTGAAATGGAGTATCAGGCTTAGCAGACCAGAAGCAATAAGTAGAAATGGAGTTGGGAATTCCTAGAGGCAGACACAGTGATACCGTGAAGAAGTAAGGCTGACAGTCTAACAGAAGGTTGAAGAGAGGGAGAGGATCATGATCAGACTCTGGGACTAGGAGCATTTAGTAGGCAGGGGCCATCCGTGTCAGGGGAAAGGGCTTTCCACAATTTAACAGGCTTCAATGCGGTCATTTACTTGAAACCCAGAACTGATGCTCATTATGATAATCTTGAGTCATTAAGAGAAGTTTAAATTCTATTTGATAGCTTCTGTTTTAAACAACAGGCAATCAGTATGACATAGCAGAAAGAGACTTGCCTCTGAAGTCAGGAGACCTGGGCTCCCAACACAACTCTAGGGAAATCACTTCATCTTTCTAGGACTTGGTTTCTTCATCTTTAAAAAGGGGAGAGGGAGGGAGAGGATCAAGATGGCCGAGTAGGAAGATCCTGTGCTCACCTCCTGCCATGGACACACCAAAATTACAACTACATACAGAACAACTATCTCTGAAAACGACCTGAAGACTAGCAGAACAGATTTTCCACAACTAAAGATATAAAGAAAAAGCCACATCGAGACAGGTAGGAGGGGCAGAGATGTGATCTAGTCAGGACCCACACCCCCAGCGCTGCGACTCACAAGTGGGAGGGATGTCACAGTCGTGGAAGTCCTCTCCAACAAACGAGGGGCCTGAGCCCCACATCAGGCTCCCCAGCCTGGGGACCTGCACCGGGAAGACGAGCCACCATAACATCTGGCTTTGAAAACCAATGGGCTTACGTCCAGGAAAGCCAGGGAGCTATAGGAAAATGAGACTCTGCTCTTAAAGAGCAGGTGTACAAACTCACTCACTCCAAGTCTCAGCACAGAGGCAACAGTTTGAAAAGTGCCTGGATTATATGTGGGAGAGTTTCATTGATTAATTTTAGGGCATGTGCCGGAGGGGCAGGGATCTGTTGGAACTTTCTCCAGGGATGGAAGCACTGGTAGGCACCATTTTTTTTTTTACTCCCCTTCTACCTAGCTGCCCCAGCTCTGGCAGGCACCATTACTGACACTCTCTATCTATCTTGCTGGCACCGTTCACCCCACTCTGGCATTCCCCTGCAGACTCACTCCACACAACCTGCCTGCCTTGGCTGATGCTCCTCCAAAGTGGCTCCTGCCCTGGTGGGACCAGCCCCATACACCAGCGTGCCTGCAGCAATCACAGCACAAGCACCAACAGAAGGGTACATGCAGCCTACACAGGGGACATATCTGGAGCATCTGGCTCTGGTGACCAGGGGGAATTGTGCTACTGGGCCTCACAGGACACCTTCTACATAAGGCCACCCCTTCAAGACCAGGAGCTATAGCTGATCTACCTAATACATACAAACAAACACAGGGATTTAGGCAAAATGAGGAGATAGAGGAATATGTTCCAAAAGAAAGAAGAAGACAAAAAAACTTCATAAAAAGAACTAAATGAAATGGAGATAAGCAATCTACCAGATCTCTACCGAACTCCAGAGAAGAATGGATGAACATAGTGAGCACTTCAACAAAGAGATGGAAAATATAAACAAGAACCAATCAGAGCTGAAGAATATAATGACTGAAATGAAAAAAATACATTGGAATCAGCAGCAGATTAGATGATGCAGAAAAACAGATCAGCAATCTGGAAGGGTAGTGGAAATCACCCAATCAGAACAGCAAAAAGAAAAAGGAATAAAAAAAAAAAAAAAAGAGGATAGCTTAAAGGACCCCTGGGACAACATCAAGTGTACTAACATTTGCATGATAGGGGTCACAGAAGGAGAAGAGAGAGAGAAAGGGAGAGAAAACCTATTTGAAGAAATAATGGCTGAAAACTTCCCCAATCTTGCAAAGGAAACAGACATCCAAGTCCAGGAAGCACAGAATCCCAAAAAAGATGAATCCAAAGAGACCCACACCAAGACACATTATAATTAAAATGTCAAAAGTTAAAGATAAAGAGAAAATCTTAGAGGCAGCAAGAGAAAAACAACCAGTTACATTACAAGAGAACCCCCATAAAACTATCAGCTGATCTTTCAGCAGAAACTTTACAGGCTGGAGGGAGTGGCGTGATATATTCAAAGTGCTGAAAGGAAAAAGACTTACAACCATGAATATTCTACCCAGCAAGGTTATCACTCAGAATTGAAGGAGAAATAAAGAGTTTTCCAGACAAGCAAAAGCTAATGGAGTTCATCACCACTAAACTGGCCCTATAAGAAACGTTAAAGGGACTTCTTTAAGTGGAAAAGAAAAGGCCATAACTAGAAATAGGAAAATTATGAAAGTAAAAGTCTCACTGGTAATGGTAAACATACAGTAAAAGAAATGAATCAACCATCTATATAGCTAGTATGAAGGTTAAAAGACAAATGTAGTAAAATCATCTACATCTCAATAATTAGTTAAGGAATACACAAAATAAAAAAAATGTAAAATACATCAAAAACATAAAACGTGGAGGGAGGTAAAAATGTAGTGCTTTTAGAACACACTCAAACTTAAGCAACCATCAACTTAAAAGAGGCTGCTATGGGGCCGGGCCGGTGGCACAAGTGGTTAAGTGCGCACGCTCCACTGCAGCGGCCTGGGCTTCACCGGTTCGGATCCCGGGCGCGCACCAATGCACCGCTTGTCAAGCCATGCTGCAGCAGTGTCCCATATAAAGTGGAGGAAGATGGGCATGGATGTTAGCCCAGGGCCGGTCTTCCTCACCAAAAAGAGAAGGATTGGCAGATGTTAGCTCAGGGCTGATCTTCCTCACACACACACACAAAAAATTTAAACCAAAAAAAAAAAAAAGAGAGAGACTGCTATATACATAGGTTGTTATATGCAAACCTCATGGTAATCACAAACCAGAAACCTATAATAGAGGCACCAAAAATAAAGAGAAAGGAATACAAACATAACACTAAAGAAAGTCATCAAATCACAAGGGAAGAAAGCAAGTGAAGAAGAAAGGAATAGAGAAGAGCTACAAAACCAAACATAAAACAATGAACAAAATGACAGTAAGTATGTACCTACCAATAATTACTCTAAATGTAAATGGTCCAATCAAAAGACACAGAGTGACAGAATGGATTAAAACACAAGACCCATATATATGCTGCCTATAGGAGACTCACTTCAGATCTAAAGACATGCACAGAGTGAAGTGAAGGGATGGAAAAAGATATTCCATGCAAATGGAAATGAAAAGAAAACTGGGGTAGCAATACTTAGACAAAAAAAAAAAAGGGCTTTAAAACAAAGATTGTAACAAGAGACAAAGAAGGGCATTACATAATGATAAAGGGGTCAATCCAACAAGAGGATATAACACTTGTAAATAGCTATGCACCCAATATAGGAGTACCTAAATACATAAAGCAAATATTAACAGACATAAAAGGATAAATTGACGGTAATACAATAATAGTAGGGGACTTTAACACCCCACTCACATCAATGGATACATCATCCAGACAGAAAATCAACAAGGAAACATTGGTCTTAAATGATGCATTAGACAAGATAGACTTAATAGATATATACAGAACATTCCATCCAAAAACAGCAGACTATACATTCTTTTCAAATGCACATGGAATATTCTCCAGGATAGATCACATCTTGAGCCACAAAACAAGTTTCAATAAATTTAAGAAGACTGAAATCATATCAAGCATCTTTTCTGACTGCAACAGTATGAAACTAGAAATTAATTATAAGAAGAAAAATGGAAAAAACACAAACGTGGGGGGCTAAACAAAATGCTACTAAACCACCAATGAGTCATGAAGAAATCAAAGAGAGAATTAAAAAATACCTTGAGACAAATGAAAATGGAAATATGATGTTCCAAAATCTATGAGACATAGCAAAAGCATTTCTAAGAGGGAAGTTCATACTGATACAGGCCTACCTCAAGAAATAAAAAAAATCTCAGATAAACAATCTAACCTCACACCTAAAGGAACTAGAAAAAGAAGAACAAACTAAGCCCAAAGTTAGTAGAAGGAAGAAAATAATAAAGATCAGAGCAGAAATAAGTGAAATAGAGACTAAAAAATCAATAGAAAAGATCAATGAAACTAAGAGCTGGTTCTTTGAAAAGATAAACAAAACTGATAAACCTTTAGTCAGATTCATCAAGAGAAAAAAGAGAGAGGGCTCAAACAAATAAAATCAGAAATGAAAGAGGAGAAGTTACATCTGACACTGCAGAAATTCAAAGGATCATAAAGATTACTACGAACAATTATACACCAACAAATTGGATAACCTAGAAGAAATAGATTAATTCCTAGAAACATAAAATCTTTCAAGACTGAATCAGGAAGAAATAGAAAATCTGAACAGACCGGTTACTAGTAATGAAATTGAATCAGTAATCAAAAAATGCCCAGCAAACGAAAGTCCAGGATCAGATGGCTTCACAGGTGAATTCTACCAAACATTTAAAGAATAGTTAATACCTATCCTCAAACTATTTGCCAAAAATTGAAGAGGAAGGAATGCTTTCAAACTGATTCTATGAGGCCACGATTACCCTGGTACCAAAACCAGACAAAGACACTATAAAAAAAGAATATTATAGACCAATATCCCTGATGAACATAGATGCAAAAATCCTCAACAAAATATTAGCAAACTGAACTCAACAACACATTAAAAGGATCATACACCATGATCAAGTGGGATTTATCTCAGGGATGCAAGGATGGTTCAATATCCGCAAATCAATCAACGTGATATACCACATTAACAAAACGAAGGATAAAAATCA